TCTTAGGCCGAAGCAGACAATATCTCAATAGTTAAGAGTTTGGGCTGTTACAAATGGTATCTGAATAATACACCAATATGAAGATGGAAATTAAGAGCCATACAAGACTATGCTAAGGGTGATATTTTTTGAACTCTATATGGGACAAAGTGTTATATGGCGGGAGTCTCCACTTAAACTTATAGGGAACACTTCTATAATCCTATTTACCCAGTGGATGATTATGGAATAAAGATACTGATGAGGATGTCAGTTACTTAAGTGGGTAAGATTGTGAAACCCCTTAAGTAAAAAAGAAGCTAAACTCTTAGACATCAAGGTGTCTTTTGGTATAATAGTTAAATTTTATTAAAAAAAACTCCACATATAAGCATGCTGATCCCAGAGAAAGCTTAGATGGGTGACCTCCTGGGAAGCACCATCATGACAAAATCATGAGGCCCTTAGGCCAAAGTGGATAATATTTTGATAGTTAAGATTTTGGCTTGTTACATCACCTTAGACTTTCCTTCCTCATTTCTTCTTTGCTAGGCTGAAAGAGAAGGGGAGCAAAAGGGGAGAGAGGAAGAGAGAGAAAGAGAGAGAAAGTATGCTTAGGGTCATTTTTATTCATCACTCCAACTGGGAAAAATATTATGATCATGATAGATAACCTGATTCCTTTTTTTATTTTCAATGATATTGATTTATCACATTCTATTTCTCATAAAATTAATTAAAATATATTATTTATCATTTTAGTAATTTTCACTAAGTGAATTTTGATATATGATAAATATCATTACCCTAAGAATTTTAACTGGTCAATATTAAAATTTTACCATATGATTTTATTTTATTAAGTGTATATGATGTTTGTTATTATTCTCTATATGATGTGAAATATATTTAAAAGCAAGAAAGACTAACTAATTTTTGTTAGTTAGAGACATGTTCTCATGTACATGAGGGTGGGTCGATGGGCTTTTAAATAAAATTTATGGTGTAATTCTAAGTGATATAAAAATTGAGGTATAAAAATATTGACTGATATGATATGATACGTCGATGGGAAGAAAGTGATGGCTTCTTACATCAAAGTCACCTGACTTGTGATATACGACATGAGACTGATTTCTGGAAGCATGGCTTAAAATAATAATAATAATATTAATGCTTAATCCCCTCCACTCTCCTTCCTCGACATTCGTGTCGGACCAGCAAACCCCCTAAGCACGCCTTTATTGGTCGTGGTAGGAGGGAACCCGGTGCGACACCAACGACGAGATAGGCGAGTGACCCCTTGATCCACGTGTCAACCACGACAACCCCGCAGAGGTATGAACTTTTCTAAAACTCAAAACCTTGCTTCAATGTCCGTGACAAACCGGAGAACCGCCCCATGCACGCCTTTATTGCGCGTGGTGGGATGGGACCCTGGTGCGACACGTACGGCGAAGCGGGGTCGCTTATGAAGTACCCCTAGGCGGGGGGAAATCAAAAACTATTTTTTTTCAAAAATACTTTTTATAAAACCCCATGCACGCCTTTATTACGCGTGGTGGGAGAAAACAAAAAATACAACCGCCGCGGTGTCTCACCAACACCAACCGTGCACGTCTTTATTGACGTGGCGGGTAGGCGGCCTCTTGGTTTTTCCCCTAAACGGGGGAGACGTCGGGAGGCTGCCAAATTTTTGTCTGAAATACAGACAAGGACTTGGAGCAAATCGTATCATTTTGCAGGCATGACATTGTAGCTTGTAGGGAGATATAGCACATTCATTTGATATTAAAATTGACTGATGAATGGGTTGCATTCATCATAATCTTCCCATGTAATTGATTGATAACTTTGCAACATTCTCCTGTGCGTCATTTAGTACTTGTGGCGGCCATCATTTGATATACAGAATATCTTCTTATGAATAAATTGTATCATTCATTAGGGACCTCATTTTGTAGCAAGTGGTATCCAAGGTCCTTTGTAGCGGCCTTCCTTATTCATACATAAATCCTCTGGTCATTACACCTGAGTGAGATATATGAATCTTTCCTTGTGCATCTGAATACCAAATCCTTCCACTTGTATGTGACAAATGTATTTGCTTGCAAATGCATCAACACATTTTATTTTGACTTTTATTTGCAAATGAGTTGTGATCACAAACCCCTTTGTCTTCAAGGATCATCCAATGTATGTAGTGGGTTTGATATCATTATTCAAACCAAGTTCTACTTGATTTTGAATCGAATGAGACTCAAGATACAAGTTCAAGTTTGAGTCAAAGTGTTCAATCAAGTTCATTGTACAACTCATTCGAGCTCAAATAGGCTTTCTCTTGTTCAAATCTTTATTGCATTTGAACCCATTTCATGTTCAAATTCATCATATGCTTAATGCCATTTGATTAAAGTCCATTTAAGTCCAAGATGAGTTCTTTGCATTTGAGATCAACTCGTTTGGACTTAGCTTGAATTCTCAATTCAGTTTAAGTTCAAGTTAATGTCATTCAGTCTAAATCAAGTCCACAAGTCTCATCATCGCTTGTCCAAATCTTTGTTCAAGTCCTCGTAGTCTTGTTGAGTTCATATCCTTCCTCTTTATTCGAGTTATGGTTCAAGTTCATTTAAGTCCATGGAT